TATATATATATATATACACACACACACACACAGAAACTGTTATGCCGCACATGAAGGTAACACATTCTCTAGCTTATCTGTAAAAAGTGTCAGGATGTTTTCTGAGACTGATCTGTTGTTCAGTTATTTTAGGTTCCTTTCAGCCGACAGAACCAAAACATACGTCACCAATGAACGTAGGGGGACGAGTGAAAGACTTAACATATAGTTTGCATGAATACACTTGAGTTGTAACATGTTGCTGTGTTTGGCATTTCTCATACAGATAAAAGTACCACATTTTCTAAAGAAGCTTTGACGCGACATCATGTTTGATTCTTTTAATAACAGCCATATACAGGAGATCTGGAGTCTTAGGAAACCCAGATAACAGATAAAAAAAATAAACAACAATATGTTCCTCTTCAGTCCTCTAAAACATGGCTGAGCATTTAAACAGGCCCAGCAGCAGATCAGGAAGAAGGGTTACAAATGTTAAATGTTTCACCTACAAGTGAAGGTTTCAAAAAACACAAAGAAAAGAAGAAAAACGAGAGAATGTGCAGTTTACTACAACAGCGTGTTAGACCAATTATAGGTAGAAAAATAAGAAGTACATTTTTGGCAAAAAATGAAAATTTTATATTAAGCTCAGAAATTTTCTGGGGGAAAAACTCTGTAAATTTTATAAATGTTCTTTTTTTTCTAGAAAATTGGTGAGATTAATCTCAAAATTTCAGTTTATTGGCAGAAATGTACTCATTTTTTCTATTCTAATGACCCTTATACACCATCATAGTTTAGTCCTCCATCACATCATCTGTAACCTGCTTCCTGAACTAATCACATGAGGTAAATCCAATAGGACCAGGCTCTCCGTTTCAACTCAAACAACAGAGGGGCATTTAGTTTTTTTTTTGGCATCGACTCTCCTCTGATCCATCAGCTCCATCCCCCACCAGCAGCTCCAGCTCTGTTCTCGTTTTGTTGGCTTCCTTCATGTTTCAATGGAGGTATTTTCATCTCAGAGAAAAAAAAGCATTTAGGAGCTACGAATTAACGGAATACTTTAATGTTGAAATCAAACTTGATTAATAGTGTAAATGAGGAAAAAAAAAAACATCTCAATATCAGAGAACCAAAAGTAACATCTAAACATGCAAAAAGACAAAGTTGGTGTCAATATATATAGATATATACATATTTTAATACATTTAATAGATTGCTGCCCCCAGGTGTAGTACAGCGCCTTGCAAAAGTATTCACACTCCTTTGTTTCCACAAAGCAAACCATTGGTGATGATCAACAGAAAGTTAGTGCATAATTGTAAAGTTCAAGGAAAGACATAATTGTTTTTAAAATAAAAGTGAAAAGTGTGTCAAACATTTTTTCAGCACCTTTACTTTGATACTCCTGAATAAAAATCCATAGCAACCAAATGACCAGAATTTAATCTGGCCCCATTAGAGGATCAGCATCACCATAGCGACTAGAGGACCCCGGCAGTAGATCAGGGAGGAAAGTGTGGAGAAGTTTAAAGCAGAGATGTAGGAGGTCTCACGAGCTCTGAAAAAATATGGACATCTAGCATGTAAGATAAAAACAACTGTGTCTAGAGAACTCCTCGCGTGGCAGAGTTTTAGCTTCACCTGGTTCAAATTCTCTAAAAAAAAATCTTGTCCAATTATTAATTGGTTAACAAGCAGAGTCCAGCAGAAAGGCCTGATCTGTTCATGTGTTGAAGGATTTTTAGCTGCAGATGATTCCTTTGATACAAATTATCAAGTGTTCACTAAAACAACACTGTTATTGCATTTTAGGGAATAAAATGTTAAATTTCTTATTTAAGAAAATGAATTATCTGTTTATTTGCGCCTTCTCGTGTATTTCTAATATTGTGTCAAATAATCTTAAGTGTTTTTTTTTCCTTTTCTTGTAATATTTCTTTTTATCAACTTATTTTATCATTCTTGTACAGCACTTTGATGCAGTTTTACACCTGTTTTTAAAATGCCTATATAAATTTTGACATTGACAAATGAAAAATCTGGAAAATGTGCCAATTTTTTAAGAGATTACTTGTCAGAATTCTGGTACAGACTGGTGACCTGTCCTGGGTGACCCCGCCTCTCACAAGGAACGTTAGCTGGAGATGGGCACCAGCAACCCTCCCGACCCCACTAGGGACTATGGTGTTAGAAAATGGATGGATGGAAGGAAGGATGGACTTGTCAGAATAATTCATTACTAAAATAATGGTTAGTTGCAGCTCTGGTAAATATTAACTGTAGACTCCACAAGACAGAAAAGTAGGAAAAAAGATACTGTTAAAGGGAAGCACAAGAAGTCCTGGGTTCAATTCCCGTTTTCTGACCATTTACCACCGGTCTTCCCCTTCCATCCTGTCAAAATTCTGTTTAATAAAGGCCACTAAAGCCAAAACTGATCCGGGTCGGTCAGGTGGGCAGAGTCAAATGAAACACAAAAAACCGCCATAAACCAAGCTCTTCCTCATTCCCCAGGAGAGCAGCAGCTGGAGTTTTTATTTGATGTGGTTCATTGTGTCTGTACATCATAGAAACTTCCAATAAAAACACATGGCCATTCGGAGCTGCAACACCACAAATGTGTGAATACTGTAGCAAGGCGCTTTGTAAAGGGACATAAAGTGATTCTTCACTGCTAAAAATCAAACTTTTATTTTTCCTTTGTCAATTCAAAATTCCACGTCGGCCTTATGCATCTCATTCATAAAATGTATCCAAATGAAGCAGAATAAACTGTACTGAGACATTTAAAAACTAATCTTTTTAAAAGACAACAGAAAATGACAGGATTATTTTTTAAAAGATACAAGTCAGAGAGCTCCTGAGCCAGAAGGAGCTCCAGGTTCATCGTCCTTGATAGCAAGGCAGTTGTCAAAAAGAAGGCGGTTTCTGGTGAACAAATTCTACAGGAAATATCCGACTAAAGCATTCTGATGTCTAATGAGGTATCGCTCTGTTCCCAATGGAGCCGTTTGTAGTTTAGTATTCTTTATCCGCTCCTCTGATGCGTTTACCATGACGACAATCTGAGGATGATGTCAGAAACTTTGGTGATTTTCCTTCGTCTTGTTCAGCCTGGCAGACAAAACTCGGAATTCATGAGACAAACCCGTTCCAGTCATGATGCGCAGCATGGAGGAAAAAACTGTTTTGTCCTCTATGAGGATCCGTAGCAGGGTGCTGCTGTTCCCTGCGTGAGGCTGAGTTTAGTCGATACGACATGCGGGCTGCGGCGGCCATATTGGATCCCAGCGTGCGGAGCTGCGTTCTGGCACCGGAGAGACCGGGTTGGCAACAAGACGGGAAAGGGAGGATGGACGGCCAGCTGGCACTGCACCTCACAAGCATACAGAAGGACGGTGATGAGTCAGGAGGTGGTGGCCGGGCGGGCTACGGGGTGGAGCTACTGCCCTGGGACATACGGCCAGCTGATGGAGCTTCCGGACAGCTGCATGTCTCGGATCAGTGTCTCGATGGGGGTCTTCCCCACCAGGCGCATGAAGAAGAGCTGGGAGATGAGGCTGGCGGGGACGGCGCGCAGCGCCGGCAGGCGCAGCAGCAGCCGGCCGAAGCGCTGCGGCTGCGACGGGTACTGCATGCGCTCGTACTCCGTCAGCGCCACCTGGGCCTTCTCCTGCAGTGACTCCACGTGGACTGGGTCGGTCAGACCGCAGGCATCTGCAGAGAGGAGGAGCAGAGGGAGGGGAGGTTATTTAACGGTGTGGGAAGGTTACATAAAGAAGTCGTGATGAGCTGAGAGAATAAACCACTCCACAGCTGATCTCAACTTTATCTAAAAAACCTAAACGCTTCATGTTGAGCTGCTTCTTTAACGTTTCCTGTCACAATAAGCAATACATCAGTCAATCACATGATAAATTCAAACAAGTTCAATAATTTCCACTGGCATGATTTATTGTTTTTCTCTACCAAAAACTGGATGATAAAAGCTCCCCCCCCCCCCTTTCTTCTTAATGATTAATTTTGTTGTTTATTTTGTATATTTAAAATGTCTTCCAATTCCAATGTTAAATGTTTATTATAATTTCAAGTTTATTCATCTTTGAGAATGTGTTCATTATTATGCCATCTCAAAACAACATTATTATTTTCTTGCAATAAATTCTGGGACAATTTATTGTTGAACAAAATTTGTAGTTGTGACTGTGATATTTCCAGCAGCAGTGCCGACGCTCGTTACCATAGATTTTCCCAGTAACTATTGAAGTAAATGATAATATTGATGTTTTGAGACCATTTTCAAGAAATACACAGAGAATGACAGTCCTCTCATTGACAAATAAGTTTTACAACAGAACACTTGACACTGGAACTGGAAGATATTTCAAATATCAAAAATTAAGCAACCAAAAAGAATAAATAAAATAGGCATACAAACACAACCAAAGCCATAAATAAAATGGATTGTGACGTCTGTCATTTCCCTTCAAAAAATATCAATCTTCAGAAAGAAAATTGAGCTAATTATAATTTATTGAGTGGTTAAAAGTGAACTTATCTGTTTTGACTGATTGAGTTGCTGTTTTTCTGAAACTTTTACTCAACTTGTTTTCTGTTTGCTATTTAATGTTTATTTTTATTGCTTTTATCTTTGTTTTATGTTATGATGGTTGGCGTAAACTGAAGCACTTTGAAGCCGTTTTAATTGTGCTATATAAATAAATTTGACATTGATTACCTTATTAACTGCTTATTGTGACAAACTATGGTGAAAAGCACAAAGCTGCACAATGATCACTGCTGTTGCTCAACTGCAGGAAACAAAACAGAACTACTGCAGTTTCATCAACAGGCCAAGAGATGGCGCTACAGCAGGTCAGATCAATAATTGATATCAGCAACCGTTTCTTTTTTGCACACCAGTCGTCTGTTTCGACACATATTCTTCCAGCAGCCAGAAGTTTACATACAGCGAATAAAAAAAGACAAACACATTCTGAAGTTAAAGACCAAACTTCTCCTTTTTTATTCTCAGAATCACCAAAAGTGTTTCTGTTTGCTAAATGTCACAATACTGAGAGAAAGAATATGTTTAAAATTAAAGTATGCATGCATTAATTCTTATGGCTCTAAAAATAAAAAAGGACTTGGAAAGGTTAACTTATTAAAATAAAGGTATCCAGTTTGCTTGATTGAAAAAACACGTGTCTTACAATAAGCAATTAAATACATGATAAATTACAATGAGCTTGATAAATTATATTCTGAATGATATTTTTGAAAAAAAAATTGCTTACAGAGACATCATAATCTAATTTATGGTTTTGGTTACAAGTGGTTTTTATTTCCATTTTATTTTATTTATTATTTATTTATTTTATTTTATTTATTGTTTTTATTTATTGTTTTTGTTGCGTTTTATTTTATTTATTATCTTCCAGTTCCAGTATTGACTTGTTTAAAACATTAAAGTGTATTGGTCTTTGAGATGTTATATTAATATACCACTTAGAAATTATCTCAAAACACCAATATTATCATATTTCACAATAATTACTGGTACAATTTATCATCCAGCAACATTTGTTATTGTGACAGGCCTAACAAGGTTTGGGTCACACTGTCTTTGATAAACACAACTCCTGCTGTGTTTAACAAACTCTAATAATTCAATATAAAGATCAGTATTTGTGGATTTTACTGTGATGAATATCTAAAATATTTGAAAAAAAAAATCAGTTTGGGAAGCTAGAATGCTACTTGGCAGACTATTTGTCTAGTGTTCAAAAAGCAGTCAGTCCTGCAATGCCATTTGTTTTTCTTGGCTGTACCCTCAAGAATTAGATATGAAAGATTGGAGATGTTAGTTTCTGCTGTAGTGCTCAGAGGGTTTCCATTGTGCTTATTCATTCATTCATATTTAGGTATATTTGTTGTTTGAACTATTAAAATAACTAGTTCTATGCAATTTTAGAGGGGTCACAAGTATTTGCAGATTTTAGCTGTTTGTAGCCCTTAACGCCCACAAAAACCACGGTCCCCTGTACTCTGAAATTAAGGAGAAGGCAAAGTGTGTTTATTAAAAGTTTAATATTTTGTGTTGGACCCCACATTTTTAAAATTACAATTAAAAGTCTCTGACATCACATCACGTGCTAACTCTTTAACAACATTTCAACCAGCATCGCACTGAGAAGTACCTGGTATAATGAGTTCAGCAGAGGCACAGTTCCCCCAGGTGTTTGCTAATTGCTGCTGGCTAGTGTGAAGGAGGTGAGGGAGATCGTCCAAGCAGCCATTTTGCGCAGCTGAATGGCTGCCATAGAGATTAAAGGATTTCTCAAACGTGCATAAAAAAATCCAAGCAACACTCCCGGTATGTTTTTGATGAGGGAATAACATTATAACATGATGTAAAGCTCAAAAGTGGATATTATATGGTACTGCCCCTTTAATTCATGTGAACTCAGAACTGCAGTGAGGGAGAACAGTGACCCTGAGGACAGGCATGAACAACAACAATCACCTGGTGAGAAGAGAGCGATGGCCTTGAGGCAGCTGTACTCAGCCGAGTCCACCTGCAGCCTCATCAGCTTCTCCACCTGGTCCTGGAACATCCTCACCTGGTCCATGAAGGACACCACGCGCTCAGCCGACATGGGCGACGAGTGGAAGCCGGCCGCCGCCAGCAGGGGCGCCATGTGCAGCGGCAGGGCCGACTGAGCCGCGTTGAGGATGAAAAGCTCGCTCCAGCTCAGCCTCAGCAGCGCCACCTGTGGGTTGGAGGAACGGTCACAGCCTGGTTTTGTTCTTCGGTTTAATCTGACTGCAGTCTGTTTCTCAGAGGATTTTCAACAGACAAGAGTAAAAAATAAAAAAAAAACACAGACATGAAGCGCTGACCTGATCCGACACAGGCAGCTCAGGGAAGTAGGGAATGTTCCTGGCCCACTCTACGGTGCTGAAGAGCAGCCGAGCAGCCAGCTCACAGATGTTATCGATGCCCATGGCGTTGTCTGGACCCGCCTGCTGGTTGTACTGGTGTCCGTATCGGCTGTTGGGGTACGGCTCTGCCCGGAGCAGCTGGGATATGAGCTCCGACACCGGCTGGCCCCCTCCGCCGCCCCCATTGTTGTTGTAGAACTCACTCCCACCGATGCCGCTGGCACCACCTATGGGTGTGATGGAGGGACTGAGGCTCGGCTGAGGTGGGATCCGCCCGCGTTGAACTGCTGTAGTTTGGTTGGGGGACCAGGGGGGAAAAGGGAAGAAGGGAGGGAAACAGGAAGAAGGATTTTGGGGAGGTAAGAGAACAAACAAAATGTTTGAGAAGTTAAAGTATGTCACTTATCTGCAAAGAAGATGTTAAACTATGAGGTGGATCTGAAGGCAGATGGAAACTTTAATAAGAGCTTGAAGAATATCACTTTTAATACTGTCACAATAACCAGTTAATCAATCATATGATAAATTAAAATCAGGCCAGTAAGTTCCATTGTGATGATTAATATTTTTTGAAGGACAATTTTGACATCATTAGCTTTTTCATTTGTGATTTTTATTTCCATTTTATTTATTGTTTTTGGTCGTTTATTTTTTGTTGTTATTTATAATATCCTCCAGTTCTTGTGTGAAATGTTCTTTACAAAATTAACGTTTACTGATCTTTGAGAACAAACTTGCATTATTGCACCATTATTACAACTCAACAATATTATCACTTATTGTAATAACTTCTGGGACAATTTATCGTCCAGTAAAATTTCTCATCATGACAGGCGTAATCACTTTATTCAGAAATCTGAGCAAAAATATTAAATTCTTAAAAGGGCAGTATTATGCGTTTTCCAGGTCATTTTGCAGCACAATACAGCTTTCTGGAAGCTGTATTGTACCTTCTGGAAGTCATCACAACATGGCTCCTCTAATATCCCTTTAACTACATTTTACCAGAGCTGCACTGAGACGTAGCTCCTATAATGAGCTCAACAGATCCGCAGTCCTGCCAGGTGATTGCTAATTGCTGCTGGCTAGTCTGAAGAAGCCGAGTGGGGGAGTTGTGGGGAGAAGGTTGCTCTGTAATGTGGAAGCTCAGGAGCTACATCTATGTCTGTGTCCACCCAGGCATTTGGAACAGTGAATGGTTGCCATGGAGATTAAATGATTTCTCAAACACCCATGAAAGAATCAAGCCAATACTTTTGATGAGTGAACAACATGACGTAAAGCTAAAAAAGTGGATTTTACACGACACTGCCCGTTTAACAGACAGATTTTCCCTCTGAGCTCCAAATCGATCAGTGTCAGAAAAAGAAGGTTCACCATGACTTGCAGCATTACTGGTGAATCAGAGGGCAGCTGGATCACTGACTGCTACATTCAGGGAAAGGAGTTCATGTGGCGAGCTTTTGCAAGAACCAGCTCATCCCAGAGCGAGCTGCAGAATTCTAAACAGGAACGCAGCAGAGATGCTGACCTCTGACCTCTCCATGCAGGCGGTGCAGCAGAGAGAAGTTTTCCACAGGGAGCCATAATGTGTCTCATTAGCATGCTTTATGATCTGTGATTATGAGGAAAGAAACAACTAAACACTCGAGAGAGGGAATGCATGTCTGTGTCTACGTGCGTGTGCGTATGCGTGTGCCAAGCCACTACAGGGAAAAAGAGCACATGGTCAGCAGGATGGTTTAGGAGACACATAAGCAATGACAATAGAGGCAATGTGCAGATATAAGTTAGTCAAATTTAAGGCTTTTTAAAACCTTGAATTAAATTTAAGACTGAAAAAAACCATAACTGATGTTTGGGGAATCTTACTGTGTTACAATAAAGAATCGTAAAAATTGTGAAATTTGTCAGGTCTGTCTGTGGCTCTTGGCAGCAGCTTTGTCCTTCTCACACTGCATATGGCTCTCTGCAGCCTTAACCCACATAGTGCCAAGTAGAGATGCAGAAAATATTTTATATATATATATATATATATATATATATATATATATATATATATATAAAAAAAAAGAGATATGGAAATGCGATATGAAGTATACTCGCAAATAGGAGCGGCAAAGATGTACAACTTTAATACATTTTGAATCTATTCAGAATTCCCAGAAGCCAGGCAGCTAAGCTATCCTAATTTTATACACACACCTACTTTGGTTGAAGATAAAGCAATGGAATTTGATACAACATGGAACCTTAAAGGACATTAATTTAAAACTGGGACTTTACACAGTCTCTTCCTCTTGTTAGTCACGTAGTTTAAATAGGAAAATGGACGTCTGAATTACAAACTGTTTGAATCGAATCATGACCCTAAAAATCTCAATGACTGCTAGACGCTGAACGCTTCACATTACTAGTGCAGAGTATAAAAGTGTTTTTGCACAGAATTTTTTTTTATGAAAATTACCTTTCTGCTTAAATGACAGGCCTTAATAACTTGGAGGTTTGACTGGTTATTTTTTATTTTTGTATTTTCACCTGTAGAATATGAGCTCAGTCACCCAACACTGACTGTTCCTGCTCAGTTCTCTGTGTTATATCGTTTCTGTAGCTCAACACAGCCATGCAGCCACTAATGCTAAGCTATCTCGATCTGAGCCAAATCATGCTGCCCTGTTATTAATAACAGGCTGTTCAGTCACATGTAGCTTTTTCCCCACATGTAAAGGAGGAGGAGCTGGATAAGGAACATTTTTCCCCCCCGCCCCATTTCATTTTCTAAAAGCAGCTTATGCACATGAGGAGGGAATTCTCAGGCTTTATTCCCGTATAAACGCACAATCAATGTTTCCAGTAATCCCAACTTGCCCCTCCCTGACTCGTCTTTTCTTGCTGATCAGACTGGACGGGAGCTGGCCAGTGGCAGCGGGTAGTTACCTTCTTTTCTCATGCCGACACGGAAACATTTCTTCAGACGGCAGTACTGGCACTGGTTCCTGTGGTGCTGGTCGATCTGACACTCCCTGTTGGACCTGAAAAAGTAGAAATAAGTCGACATGAAGACGTGCACATCGGATGTATTAACGATGCACAAAGGCATCGATGTTTTACGGCTTCCTGCATTGATTAAGTTTGCTTTGTTGAAGGATTTGCATATGTACTGTCAATCAGAATAATGGGAAGCAGCTGGTTTCTGAAGTCACCTGATCTTCACACACATGGGACGCATGCATGAATGTCTGGGTTGGTCAGTTTATGAGGCCAACAAAATGTTGACCTTTTATCTCCCTATAATGTCCAATATTTTACAGCAGTTTGGGTATTACTGCTGATACAAATCCATTCTCTATTAAGTCACAGGTGTCAAAATGTCAGCCCAGTGGCCTTCATCGTTCAGAAACAGCTCCGTTTTAACACATCTCAATCAGATAAATAGTATGGGCGCACTGATTGCAGTTTTCTGGCCAATCACAATTTCTGAAAAGCCTGACCCGTCGATTCAAAGCTGGGTTTGGTATCTGTAGGCAGATACTGATTTTTTTAGTCTAAAAAGTTGATAAATATAGCGACAAAGTTGCTAAGTTGCCAATACTGGGGGTGACTGTTGGTAATAGTGCATGTGCAGACCGAACCTGGTGAGCAATCAATGCTCTCTCATGGCGGTGGATGATTTTCAGGCTTTTGTAGATGTAGATAAGATCAGGACAGTTTCACATACAAACATTGATCTAAACTCCAAAAAGTAAGGAAATCAGGGCCAACTTATCGGTTCCACCTTCAGTTACAGATGGCAACATCGCCACCGCTGTCATAATCAAAACATTAAATTACATTAGCAGAAGGAAGAATAACATCAAGTAAAATCTGATCATGTCATACATTTTATAATAACGTTTTATCTAAATTCAGTATTTGTGATTTTTTTCTGTGTAGCAGCCAAGCAAGGCACCAGATAAACTCCTGGAAAAAATCTGCTTTCTGCATATATAAATCTCTGGCTGAACATGGTTCTCCAGCAAGCTGTTCAGAAATCAACCTGAGCCTTATGTACGTCATGTTGTGCATAAAGTACCACTTGATCACATTCTCAATACAATAATGTTGCTCATCAGTTTGACTAGCACTCAGTCTGGTATGAATTATTTAACATGATACAAGAAATATCCAAAGACCCGTAGAACTATGTTCATCATCTTCCTCCTCTGTACCTGTTAGGACAAAAAAACTGAAGTAATCTTGCTCTATTGTAAACCTACTGATATGAATAAAAGCTGTATCTACAGCCTGAAACCAATACTTCCTGTTACAGTCACATGCATTATTAACGGGTTATGAAAGCAGATTTTTCCACGTTGCTCTTTATTAGTAGATGGTTGAATCATTCACACATCAAAACCGTTCCATAATCTTCAATTTGTCAGAGCTGAAACTCAGTCAAAAAAGAAAAAATCTAACTACCCTGGTCCACTTTCATACACATTACTTGAGATGGATTCAGCTTTGGGGTGTTGGGTGATGAAGTTAATCATTAGATGTGCCCTTAAGGTCAAGACTGCAATGATAGAAGTTCTGCTCTGAACTGGAACATGGTGAGCGTTCGATGCCGAGTTTATATTTTCAGTTGAAAAGTGATGAATTGTTAAAGGGCAGCGTGGCAAAACTCCCTGCAGCTGAAGGTGACCTTTTCTTTCCTTTTCTCTGGATGTCAAAAAGCAGTGTGGCTAAACGCAGATTTCCTTCTATGTCCCATATATTTTTTTATTCAAAATTACTGATCTACTTTCCAAACAATGAGGACAGATAATTGCCTATCCCTGGCAAAACTGCTTGGAGGTAGTTGGGTCAGTTGCTATGGAGACGGTATCCATTTTAACAGCTGGACATTCTGACATTGAGAAACATGCCTGAAAAATGTACACCGTTTGACTGTGCAACTATTGACACATTATTTTCAAACCGTCCCGAGCGGGGGTGTCAAAACGTTTTGCATCAAGGGCCAAAATCTGCGACTTGAGTTCAAAATATTTTATTTTCTCCTCAGTTAAAAATGCAAAAACCTTATTGTGATTTATTTATCTTTTTCCTGCACAATAACAAATTAAACATGTAATATTTATCCCTTATGCTTACAATAATTTAACTATTTGGGCTAATTATTAAGGGTGCACAGATCCACTTTTTTCCACCAATACTGATACAGATATCAGAGTTATTATCGGCCAATATCGATTTGATACAGAAAAACAGCTGAATGACATTGTTTTAACAGACATAAATGTACTGAATTACAAGTGTGATGTACTGCTGCAGTAGATGTTTGACCATTAGCTCAGTCAAACATGTAAAAATAACTTTAATTTGTTCAGTCAGTATAATTAGGAGTAGAACTGTCAATGTAAAATACATGATAAAGAAACTCAAGCAGGTTGACTATCTTGGTCAAATATGTGGTAACACTTTATTTGAAGGGGTGTGCATAAGACTGACATGACACTATCATAAACATGACATAACACCTGTCATGAACATGAAGGAGTCTTTATGAATGTTTATGACTAGAGGTGTGCCAATCGATCGGTCACCGATCATAATCGACCGATTTCCGTGAAAAAGTGTATGATCGGTGATTGCCGATCACGGTCTCTTGTTGCCGATCATAAAAACCGATCACCTGCATCTCATTTCGCAGCCTGTCTGTGCAGCTGGTCTCCTCTTTCCTTCACACTGCGCAAACGCGCAGCAGCAAATCCTAAGCGATGTTGTGTGGAACCATAACGCACTGAGTGAATGGGGAAGTTTGCGTGTTGCGGCGGAAAATTGAAGCACGTCAAAATGCATCAACACAACGAGTCTAATATGGCATAAAAACAAAGCCATACTTGACGGAGTTTGGCTACATCGAGGCTCACTGCAGTAAAAAAGACATACGGAGCGACCAGATAGCAGGTAAAGCAGCGCACAGCTACAAACATTCACCCGGATTAGCATGACGGTCAGAAAGCTAAACAAAGAAACCCGCAAAATTATTTAAGTCTTCGAGCTGCGATGTAAGACGCTGGTTCTGCTCTCGCTGTTGAACCGCTGCTACGCTACAGGTAGTAATATTTCACAGACGGAGCTTCGCTTCTGTTCCACCTGGTAGTGACTCTCACACCGAACCTCTGCTTAAACCTGCAGCATCTAACTTAAAAAAAATACATTTTACATACGTATTAAAACTTTCGCTGTCTCAACATGAGACAGATAATCTCTGAAAAAATAACCGATCTCCTCCCT